TGTTTTTAGTGCCAGCCGAGCTTGGAGTTAAGAATCCTCAAAGGCCGCCGTTGAGTTGCGATGAAGGTCCGCCTGCTCTCAGGAAGTCTTGTTGTTCAGGCTTGGCAAGCTGCGTGCAGTATCGTGCAGTAACATCTCTGTGTGCCCATGCTGCAAGACACATTGCTGTAGTTGTTCGCGCAAATCAGGTGCCACACAAAAATACTACTTGGGCTGGCGAGCAGGTGCTGGTAACATAACTTAGAAGGTTAGACATTGGTTGGTGAACATGAATACACATGTATGTGCATATGTGTGTATATGCATCAAATTACATACATACATACATTACATTACATTACAATACATTACATTAGATTACATTACATTACATTACATTGCATACATACAGGCATACAGACATACATACATACATACATACATACATACATACATACATACATACATACATACATACATACATACATACATACATACATACATACATACATACATACATACATACATACATACATACATACATACATACATACATACATACATACATACATACATACATACATACATACATACATACATACATACATACATACATTACATACAGACATACATTACATACATACATACATACATACATACATACATACATACATACATACATTACATACATACATACATACATACATACATACATACATACATACATACATACATACATACATACATACATACATACATACATACATACATACATACATACATACATACATACATTACATACATACATTACATACATACATACATACACATTACATACATTACATTACATTACACATTACATTACATTACATACATACATACATTACATACATACATACATACATACATACATACATACATACATACATACATACATACATACATACATTACATACATACATACATACATACATACACATACATACATACATACATACATACATACATACATACATACATACATACATTACATACATACATACATACATACATACATACATACATACATACGTACATACATACATACATACATACATACATTACATACATACATACATTACATACATACATACATACATACATACATACATACATACATACATACATACATACATACATTACATACATACATACATACATACATACATACATACATACATACATACATACATACATACATACATACATACATACATACATACATACATACATTACATACATACATACATACATACATACATACATACATACATACATACATACATACATACATACATACATACATACATACATACATACATACATACATACATACATACATACATACATACATACATACATACATACATACATACATACATACATACATACATACATACATACATACATACATACATACATACATACATACATACATACATACATACATACATACATACATACATACATACATACATACATACATACATACATACATACATACATACATACATACATACATACATACATACATACATACATACATACATACATACATACATACATACATACATACATACATACATACATACATACATACATACATACATACATACATACATACATACATACATACATACATACATACATACATACATACATACATACATACATACATACATACATACATACATACATACATACATACATACATACATACATACATACATACATACATACATACATACATACATTACATACATTACATTACATTACATTACATTACATTACATTACATACATTACATACATACATACATTACATTACATACATACATACATACATACATACATACATACATACATACATACATACATACATACATACATACATACATACATACATACATACATACATACATACATACATACATACATACATACATACATACATACATACATACATACATACATACATACATACATACATACATACATACATACATACATACATACATACATACATACATACATACATACATACATACATACATACATACATACATACATACATACATACATACACATACATACATACATACATACATACATACATACATACATACATACATACATACATACATACATACATACATACATACATACATACATACATACATACATACATTACATTACATTACATTACATACATACATACATACATACATACATACATACATACATACATACATACATACATACATACATACATACATACATACATACATACATACATACATATACATACATACATACATACATACATACATACATACATACATACATACATACATACATACATACATACATACATACATACATTACATACACACAGACATACACACAGACATACATACATTACATTGCAATACATTACATTACATTACATTACATCACATTACATACACACATACATTACATATACAATGCGTATAAACACATAAATGCATGCACGCACGCACACACACACACACATATATATATATATATGTATACATACACGTGTATATATGTGCATATGGGTGTTTCTCGGAACACGTTGCCCCCTTTCTTGGTTGGCATTTCACGCCACCCACCCCCCCTTCCCCGCCCAAAGAAAAAACAAATGGATGTGTCTATACCAATGGTGAAATAAAAGGTGCCACACCCCGTCGTGGACTTGCCCCATGGGGTACAACATCGAGCTTTCCTTTGGCCTCCCGTTGCAAAGCGCCCAAAATGGGTCCACTAGGTTGAGCAACTGCTACAATTAATACCGGACTCCCTCCAAGAAGGAGGACCACCAAGGGGTCCCTAATCAAAGATCACAACGCCCAAAGTAATCCAAAGCCCATATCATGCACAACCAAAGGTGAGGTACCCCATGTTCCAGCTTGGGGGCAGTGGTTTGATGCGTTGATTTTCGTCTTGTTGCTTTGGGGGAGCTAAAGCTGAGAAAACTTCTGAGCTTGCCAAGCTGCTCAGGCGCATCGGCGTGGAGGAAGACTGTGTAGTCTGGCAAGTCGTTGTACCTCCGTGAAGATGCTCGTGGAAGGCCCCCCAATCGCAAAAAATCTGCAAGGCACCCCCCGCCAACAAAAAAAACTAAAGAAAGAGTGTTGCAAACTACGAAATCTGTGACATCCCAGAAGTGGGGACAAAATCCGGGCAACAAAACGACATCTGTGCCATCCTAGGAGGAAGCGACAAACAGTGACCAACAAGTCCGGTCACAATGCGATATCCCAGAGGTGGCGAAAAAGGTGCGCTGATAAACCTTGACACTCATGCATGCTATATATATACCCAAATGGGTGAGAAATGCTGATGTGTACATGTATGCATATTACCTGTTCCATTCATGTATGCTCAAAAATACCAAGAGGGACATGTTTTGAGATATATATATATATATATGTGTGTATAAATATCCTTCGTACCTTTTGCCCTTCCGGAAGCTTCCCAGGCCTCTTGAGACCTTTCAACGCACCAAAAAATACCCCCCTCCACCAGAGTTCAGGAGCGCTCAGGCTCAATCTGTTTCCCTTTTAGTTGGTCAAGGAGAAACCAAAAGGACACCCATTTTTAGGGACCACCCCAGCTTGGCCTTTAGACTTGAGCTCCTACATTTGGGAGTTCAGTTTAGTTTAATTCTTGGCCGGTCAGCCAATGGATCATTCCTAAGCCATGGGCGACTGGGCGAGGTAAGTGTGTGATCTGTCCCGGATCAAGCGGTGGATTCCTTGCTTTGGAGTCACGAATCTCTCCCTTCCTGAGCCAAAAAGTGCAAACTGTTTGTTTCCCACTAAAACGGTCTTCCCGAAAACTATATAAGGTCCGGGAACTCAAAGAGTGAGATCTTAAAACATGCCCCGAGCTGCCAGTCAACAACGTAGGCCAAGTAGGCGGAATCGTCATCAGCACGCAACACGTCATCAACGTAGCGCACCTTACAGGGCCAGCGTTGCCACTCGCCGTTCACCCCAAAACTCATCCACTCAAGAGCGCAATTTCCCTGAGGCTAGACAATTCCCATTTGCCGTCATGCGAGCGGGGACTGAATTTAATTAACTACCCAAAGCCCCAACCCATAGCCACGCAAATCCCCTAAGATCCCAACCCCAAGCTCCACTGGCTGCACCGCCCCAGTTTCAGCCTTTCTCTCACTCCCCTTCATCCCACAGCACGACAGGGCAGCGAATGTGGGCGGGCTCTGGATGCAGATGGGTGGGTGAAAACTTGTTGGATTCCCTTCAAACCTTACCCAGCCAAAAAATAATACTTCTTCAGACTGGTCGTTGCTTCAGATCACCCAAGACGGGTGATTGCAAAGGACCGCTTGTAAAATGAACCTAAGAACACACATTCTTTTCAAGGATATCCATTCTTGGGACGCAATGACAGCAACGAATGGCAACCGCAGGTTTCCACTACTCCCAAGCCACCAAACTGGGGTATATACCTTTTTTTGGTAATAGTGGCTACCCAGCAACCCCAGGTTTTCACTCCCAGCATCTGTTTTTGTTTTTGGAGGGCTGCAACCTCAAAAACGACAGCACCCACCCGGAGGGCCCAGAGGGCCCGGAAGACCGGCGAATCCAAGGCGCGGACACCTCCCGGAAGTAGGGCGCCCACTCCTTCCGCAGCCGGCGGGCCTCCTTCGCGCGCGACGCGGCTCCGTGGCCGCCACACCTGAAGCTTCAACCGACTTTAGGCCAAGAGAAACCCAACAGGCTTAGGATTTAGCTACTTAGGCCTAGGAGTATATGTAGATTTATGTGTGTAAACCTATTATTATTTTGATGGACGTAAATGCAGAAATCTATGTTGAAATTTGTGGGCATGTTCAGGCATCCCCCATTGCTAGGCAACTTTCCGCAGCCAAAAGGAATGCGAGAAAGCCACTAGGCCCTATTGGGATTGGGGTGGCCCCCATAGACATTA